CAATGTGACTTTGTCAATAAGCTCTTCTACAAAATGCAAAGTACCCCTGCCAAACGGTTAATTGCCAAAAAACGTTGGAATGAAGTTCCATGCTTCCAGAGTTGAGATGCTGGTCTTACCAAAAATCCCTGCATGAGCAGACGCCATTAATGAAATGATGGAAACGACTTCCATCCCTCAAAACTATTTCCCTTCCAACCAATTTAGAGACATGTTTACTAAATTCATGACAATCACCACAAATCCTTAGGTTCTTGGAAATCAAGATTGGGGCACCACCTCTTATGCTGATCAATCCAAAAGCAATAGCTAGCTTCTCACTGTGGCTTAAGAGCCTCCCAATTTTATCTTCATCTTCTTCATCGCGAAGAACCCAATGAAGATCAGGAATATATCCTTGTTCTTTTATAAATGACAACAATAATTCCAATTTTTGGTAAATTTTGTTGCATTGAGGATGTGATTTATCACCTGCAGTGAAGTAGTGAATCTTATTTCTAACACTAATCCAGCTTTTTCCTGGAGGCTTTCTTAAATCCTTTTCTTGAAGCAATTTTCTTAATTTTTCAACTTCTGACCATTGGCCTGCAGCTGCATAGATATTCGATAACAAAACATAGTTACCTGCATTTGTCGGTTCTAATTCAACCAGCTTCTCGAAGATGGTACGAGCATACTTAGTTTCAGAGTACACTCGACAAGCACCAAGAAGAGATCTCCATGCAGATGCAATTGGTGCAATAGGCATTGAATTAATGAACTTCCAAGCTTGCTCAAAGCGACCTCCACGTGCCAGCAGATCAACCACACAAGCATAGTGCACCGGTTCAGGGATAATCCTAAAATCACGAATCATAGATTGGTAAAGCTGTGTGCCCTTGTCTATAAAACCCGAATGGCTACAAGCAGATAAAGCAGAAATGAACGTTATCTTGTCAGGTATAAAGCCCTCTTCCAACATATTTGAGAAGGCTAGCATAGCATCATATCCTCTCCCATGAATGCCATAGCAGGCTATCATTGCATTCCATGAGACTACATTTCTCTTCGATAATGCTTTAAAAATGTTCTCAGCATACTTCATACAACCACATCTTGCATACATACTTATGAAAGCATTTGCCACAGCCAAATCAGAAACCAGAGATTTCCTCATTGCATAAGCATGTAAACATTGGCCTTCGGGAAGATTAGCTAGACTTGTGCACGATGAAAGAGCATTAATAATTGTCACACCATTGGGTTGCTTCTTTAAAATCAGATGATGGAAAAGAAACAGAGCCTTTTCAGCCTCATTGTTCTTCACATAACTAGTAATCATAGCATTCCACGAGATCAAGTCTCTATCAGCAAAGCTCTCAAACAACACCTCGGCTGTTTCTTTATCACTGCAGTTCATATACATTTCTATGAGTGCCGTATGCAGAGGTGGGTCAATTTTGATCCCGTGTTTTATCACATAACCATGGATAAATCTACCAAGTTTTAAATATGACTCGTCATTACAAGCTGCAAGAATGGAAACTATCGTGTGGGAGTTAGGCGCAAAATGTAATTCACTCATCTGCATAAAGAGATCCCACGCTTTACCCCTCAGTTCATTATGGGCCAATGCCGAGATCAATGTGTTCCATGAAAGCACATCTGGATTTTTTGTCTCATCAAAAAATTTCGAGGCATCTTCAACACAATTTAGCTCTCCAAACAGATTTAAAAATGCATTTCTTATGCAGGGATTGTTCTCCATTCCGCATTTAACTACATGAGCATGCAGGCTTCGACAATTTCTCAGACCATTAGCCAAGTCAACACATAATGACAGTACAATCACAACAGTTCTTTCATCTGGTCTTGGGCCTTTTAACCTCATTGTTCTTACCAAAGCCACAGCTTCATCAATGGCGTCTCTCTCGATATATGCAGAAATCATAGAGTTCCACAAAGCAACATCTCCTGTAGAAACGGATCGAAATAGAAAATGTGCAAAGTCCATACATCCAATTTGACTATACATATTTATCAATGCATTTATTATGTACAAATCTCCATTAAAATCACATTTGATTGCCAGTTGATGGACTTGCATACCCAATTTAATACACCCATATTCTGCAATGGCCTGTATAGCACTGAGGATGGTCACCAAATCACATCTCACCCCATTCATCAACATTTGAACAAAAAGATCGAATGCCTCAAAGTAATACCCTGTATCAACATACCCATTAATCATTGCATTCCAACTCACCACATTCCTCAAATTCATCGATTCAAAAACATCATACGCCGTCCTAGCATCAAATTTCAAGTAAAACCCAATCAAAGAAGTTCCCACATGAGCATTCAAGTTCAAAAATCCATTTCTCAAACAATACCCATGTATCTCCTTCCCAAGCCCCAAGTCCATGAGTTCCCCCGTGGCCACAAGCAATGACACCATAGTCCTTGCATTCGGTCTCAACACGTCTCTTTGCATCTCCATAACCAAAAACACAGCCTCCTCAAATTCCTTACAATCCACAGACCCGGAAATCATCGCATTCCAGGCCACTACATCTCTCTCGCGCATTTCATAAAACACGTATCTCGCTTCATCCAAACACCCACATTTACAATAAAAATCAACAAGACTTGTCCCAACACGCACATCAGTAATCAAACCTGTATTCATTACATCATGGTGTATTTTCTTGCCCATTTCGATGGCATATAAATTCCCACAAGCCTTGAGAATGAGAGGCAACGTTACTCTATTCGGCAAAATGCGTAAAGATTCCATGTAGGTATAAGTAGTGAGAATATCATTATCGTTTCTGAGCTTAGCCTGGTGTTTGATAATTGAATCCCAGTCGTGGGTTGCTCTTTGTTTTCGTGAAAATTGAAGATTT